AGACTCTTGACCTAATATCGTCGACACATAAACATGGGTTGGAGTCCATTAAAAGTGACTTTGAGACAAAATTCAAATCTTTACACGAGCAACTCAACGTAGTCAAAAATCAATTTGAATCCATAAGCAAACAAATTTTCAATGACAACAACAACAACATTGCGAAAGTGCTAAGTGAAATTAATATCCTAAAAGTGGCTGTTGCTAAAACAACAAACTACAATGTAAATGCTTCTAAAAAGAAGTCGAATAGCCGCCCGCCTGCTGTTCAGAATACTTTTGTTGCGCCTGATGATGGCAATTATACCGCTATTACTGAAATGACTTTTACCGGCTCTTCACCATCCTCTTTAACACCATCTTCGCACTCAGTTAGTGGTGCTAAGCATATCAACAATAACAATAGCGCATCAGTGAATGCTTTGCCTACTGTTGGTGATGCTGCTAGTGGTGCAAAGCACAATAACAATAAAACTCATTGCTTGCCTGTGGCCCGCAATGTGTCAGTGAATGCTTCTTTGCCTATTGCTGCTGATGTTGGGTTTTTAAATTCATGCGATCCTGTTGCTACGTCTGGTTCGCTCATATCGCCGCTGCCTTCAAACGCTGTCACACAGTTTTCTACGGTTCCTACTTTGCCTATTCAATTTTTGCCTACTGCCAGTGATGCTAATTCTAATGCTATGCTCAATAATACTGAAACTCGTTGCTTGCCTGTAGCCCGTAATGTTTCAGTTAATGCTTCGTTGCCTAATGCTGGTGATGCTGTGTTTTCAAATTCATGCGATCCTGTTCCTACGTCTGGTTTGCTCACATCGCCGCTGCCTTCAAACGCTGTTACACAGCATTCTACGGATGGTGCTGAAAAATATGAGTGGAAAACGGTACGCAACAAGAAATCAAATAGATATAAAAATATTGTTGTGGGCAGTAATACTAACTGCGACCTCGACGTTGTAATTAAAAAGAAGTGGTTACACATCTCTTCGTTCAAACCATCCGTGACTGAAGATAAAATAATTTCATATGTTGCTAATCAGTCAGGCGTTGACAGTCAACACCTGGCTTGCTACAAGCTGGTTAAAAAGGGTGCTTCTGTCGATAGTTTGCGTAGCCTTAACTTTAAATTTGGCGTTTCACCAGCATTCTACAACCAAATTGCGAATCCAGCGGTCTGGCCGACTAACATAAAAGTAAGACCGTTCCGCTTTTTTCAAAAACTGGACAACTCGGAAGCGAACCACTAGCCCAAATCGCAGCTGCAATGATAATAATCTGAAAATCTACTACCAAAATATATCTGGTATTCGAACTAAATGTGCAAAGGTTCGCATGTTAACTGCTCATTTGGAATATGACGTATACGTTTTTGTGGAATCATGGCTTAACGACAGCTTTTTTGATTGCGAAATCTTTGATTCTGACCTTTTCGACATTTTTCGCAAAGACCGTGATGCTGAGAAGACGGGATGTTCTAGAGGCGGTGGTGTTCTCATAGCGGCTCAACGGAGATTCAAAGCTTCACAAGTAACGCTCACCAATTCTGACTCGCTCCTTGATCAGCTTTGCGTCTGTATTCACAGCTCCTCCGGCGATATCCTTTACATATGTGCGTCATACATCCCGCCGAATAGCTCTGAAAGCCTTTACGTTGCACACGCTGATAACATCGTATCATTGGCGTCTGATGTCGTTGGTAATAATCACATTTGTGTTCTTGGTGATTTCAACTTTAGCCGGCTGAACTGGACTCCAAGTGGAGATTCTGCTGCTCTTATAGCTGCAAACGTGAGCTCTCCAACAGAAATTTATATCGTTGATAGCTTTTCAAGTATTGGATTACAGCAAGTTAACTGTATTTATAACCAACTAAATAGACTATTGGATCTTGCTTTTATCAGTGACAATGTAAACTTCACGTTATCGGAATGTATGTCTCCCATCTCTCCGGCTATAATGCATCATGTGCCTCTCGCTCTTGAGCTGGAGTTTTATAACTTTGATTCAGTGCCGGAAGATCGCAGTATTAATTTTAACTATAAATCGTGTGATTTTTCTTCCTTAAATGATGCCCTATCAGATATAGATTGGAATTATACTTTCCGTGGCAGTGATGTAACCTCTTGTTACCGTATTTTTAAGACCACCCTCTATGAGCTATGCCTGCAGTACATCCCTATTCTTAAGAAGAAGGTGTACAAACTACCGTGGTACACGAAGCGTTTAAAGCATCTAAAAAATTTAAAAAACAAATTTAGCAAATTGTATAAATCCTCAAACGACTCCGCGCATCTTCTTAAGTTCCGGTACTTTCTAAAAGAATTTAATTGTTTGAACAAATTTTTATACCGAAATTATATTTTAAACTTTGAAGCTAATATTATCTCGAATCCCAAATCTTTCTGGCGTTTCATTGATTCCCGAAAATCTTGCTCATCAATTCCAACAAATGTTTTCTACAATGGTCGCTCCGCAAATTCAGCCTCTGACTCGGCAAACCTATTCGCTGAGTTTTTTTGCGCTAACTTTGTCAATGACATGGACTCGAATATAACGGGCTCTAGCTCTTCTAGTGACTCTTCGCTGAATTTTGGTTCGCTAACCATTTCAACCGAGGACGTTATCAAAGGAATTGGTGATCTTAAGCCATCTTCACAAGGCGATGTAGAGGGTTTCTCGGCTTTTCTGTTGAAAAATTGTCTATGTTTAGCTGAGCCTCTTACTGCAATCTTCAATCACTCTCTGGCCTCGGGCATATTTGTGGACGACTGGAAACAAACGTCTGTAACCCCTATCTTTAAAAGTGGGAACAAAAATGATGTCCGCAACTACAGACCGATATCAAAGCTATCTTCAGTATCCAAATTATTTGAGATTGTTGTAAGCTGTAAACTGTCTTTTGCTGTTAAAAACCTAATTTCTACTAATCAGCATGGGTTCGTCGCTAACCGCTCAACAGTCACAAACTTGGCTATTTTCAGTGATTACTGCTTATCTGCTTTTGAAAACAAAGCTCAGGTGGATACCATCTACACTGACTTCTCGAAAGCTTTCGACAAAGTATCACATCGTTTACTTCTGCTGAAACTGATCTCTTTTGGATTTCATTCGACATTTTTGTCTTGGGTTAATTCCTACTTAACTGATAGGCGCTGCTTTGTAGTAGTCGATAATGCAACCTCAAAACCGTTCATCGCGTCCTCGGGTGTCCCTCAAGGCAGCATTCTCGGTCCCCTATTTTTTGTGCTTTTCATCAACGATATCAGTTCTTGTTTCAAATTTGCTAATTACCTACTTTATGCTGATGACCTTAAAATATTTGCAACTATCAAAAACCTTTATGACTCAGCCAACCTGCAATCGGACCTGTACAGAGTTCATGAATGGTGCTGCAAAAATCAGTTGACGCTAAATATCGGCAAATGCTTTCATGTATCTTACAGTAGACATCTCAATACTTTGCATACATCATATTCTATCTCTGGCTCTGTTTTGCAATCTGTGACCCAAATGAAGGACCTTGGTGTTGTCTTTGACTCCAAACTCGCATTCAATAGTCATGTCGATTACATCCTTTCGCGCTCATACTCGATGTTAGCTTTTATCCGCCGAAACTGTCAGGCGTTTACGAACCCTTACACTCTTAAAACTCTGTTTTGTGCACTTGTCAGGTCAAGACTGGAGTATGCAACGTTTATTTGGAGGCCTTACACTAAAATTCTAGCTAAACGATTAGAACGTGTTCAAAAAGTTTTTATAAAATTTGCTCTCCGTTCATTAAATTTTTCTTTGCCACTTCCTTCATACTATTCTCGCTGCCAACTAATCAACCTTACAACACTGGATAACAGAAGATCCATTTTAGCGTGCACGTTTGTCGTTAACATCATAACTGGATCAATTGACTGCCCTTCTCTTCTAGAAAAGATTGCATTTAATATTCCCTCTAGAATCCTCCGCCATTGGGATTTCTTTAAAATAGGTTTCTCTAGAAGCAGTTATGGTGCCAACGCTCCGATCTCTAGAACGTGTGCTGAACTTAACCTAGTCTTCAATGCTTTGGACATTGATTTCTCACAATCAGGCCCTGCCTTGGTTACTCATCTGCGAACATTTTTCTCTGCGCTATACCACTAGCGATGTATTTAATCTTAGCTCTTGTGAACTTAATGTATTTAAAATTTATCTTAATTTTTAAGTTTTAGTAGCACTTAATTAGTGTTAGCTGAGTAGTCTGTAAGAATATTCTGTATTCCAAGACTGAAATAAATAAATAAAAAAATAAATAAATAAATAAATTGGATACCGAGTTACACATTTGTGATCATAACTGGGCGGCGCCCAGTTATAACCCAATTTTCTCGTAACTGGTTATCGCAATCATCGATTTTAAGGGAATTACTTTAGTAGTTATTGATTTATCGCGGTTTTCGTGTTTCTGTAAATTACCATTATATGGTAGATACGCGTAGTCATTGCCCGATTTCAAAGATTTTCAACAGATTAAGTTAAGAAACTAGATCATAAGCACGGCTCGTACCGAATTTGGTAAGGATTGGTGAATGGGATACTGAGATACATAATTTCATTTAAGTTTTATAATAACTATTTTTAACAAAAATTGTACTTCACATACTAATTTTCTACAATTTCCATCCAATATTTATTGAAATATCGTAGTTCTTGCATTTTTGGAAAATACCTTTATATGCGAAGTGGGCGTAGTTACAGTACGTGTTTATATTTTTTTCTTGATTTTTTTTTTTGTTTGACTTAGCACATTTGCATACCACTGCATGACAACAAGTAAGAACGACATTACAGTAACTTTTTTTTGTAATGATGTATCTTGAGTTCCTCTATCTTACTGCATTAAAATCTAAATTTTCATAAAAAGTGGACTTAACATGTTTGCACGCTAAGCCAGCGATATAATTCTTATTAAATCGAAGAAATTACGCGTATAAACTGTTAGTATGAAAATAATATTTGTTTTTTACCTAAAGTAACAAACCGCTTCAACACTAAATAAAGTTCAAAGAGGGTTGTTCCCATGTTTAAGGATTTCGTGTCCAACAGATTTGAATACTCCAACGTATCTTCAGGTATATGAAGTGTTTTGATATGAGAGCACACGTCTTCAACGTTGTTTTTACAAATTTCAAAGATATTTGAATCGTAATACTTGAATACAATAGCAGAATAGTTAAATCTAATTTTGCTGGAAAAAGGAAATATTAATTGGGTATGATTTCAAAAACGCTTGTATACTTACTGATAAAAGTGCTTATCAAAATACTCCATCGCTCTTTGTAAATCAGACCGCACCATCTGTACCAGTTTTATTAAAAACTCAAGCTTTGCTTCGTCTGTTGGTTCATCATTACAATTTGATTTACTCCCTTCTAGAATGTATTCTAACCATTCCTTGACACCGGTGTTTATAACTTCTATCAGCACTTCATCAATATTATTAGTATTTAGGCACATTGGTGAAATAAAACCATATATATTTTGGGGAAAAATTTCACCCACAGGGTGCCCTAAAGTTTTGATTTTGGAAATAATATCTAAGACTTCACATAATGTGCTTACTATGTGTTTATCGCTAACATTCTTTGCACGAATTTTTCGGACGATTGAAAAGCATGATGGCAAAATCCTTTTAACTCCATTCCAAAATGATTTTGTATCTTCAGAATCAGTTTGAAGAACTTTTAGGATTGGAATAATAACATCGAGTAGGCTATTAAAAACATTGAAGCTGAGTTTTTGATTTTCATGGATTTTCGAATACACAATCCATTGGCTAAGGGCACAATCGAAGTTCGTAAGGCCACTTTGAACAGCATGCTGAGATCGAATTAGCTCTGCATTGGTACTGAAATTTCCATTCCACCAGTATTCAGATACTTGAGAAGTATCCAATTCGTGCATCAGTAATAGATTCAGCAGGTGTCTGTGCTCTTGGATAGCAACGCGTTTGTTTTTCTCAGCACTTAAGGTCATACTAACTAGCACCGAACCCCGACTTTTTATTTTAGAGCTCTTCTCTAAATTATGCCAAGCAGTTATGCCTGAAGTTGGGACTGACTAGAATGAAGAATAAGTAAATAGTAAGATTCTTTTAGATTGCTTTATTATACATTACTTTTAAAGTTATTGCTACACGTCCAATTAATTCATTGTCGTGCTTTCCCGTAGAGGCAGCTTGTGCGATCTCTTTCATAAGCTTACTGAGTCCCTTAACACCTTTGACATCAAATAGTTTATTTACTTTTTCCTTAACTGTTTCAGCAGCATCGAAATCCCTAGGGCACATTTGTAAATATAAATATTATTACTTGCAATCTTCATTGATAGCACGACAACTATTACCATATCTCTACTATAAGCACCTCCTCTTTTGGATTATCCGCGATAGGCCTGTGAATCAAGATGTATATGTATACATATTAGAGTGGTTAAAAAAAAACACGCTTTTTGGAAATTCATAAACGCTACATCAAAACATTGTTATATGTGATAAAAAAAAAAGACACGAATTTTTTTATTTTGAAAAAAAGCTTTTTGGAGGTCGCGCTAGTAGGTTTGTTATGAAAACACAGATGTTTTCAATTTTATTATTTTCGTGACATGTTAAAGTACATCTAAAAATTTTGTTTCAACATGTAATTACTCATGCATTATTGGGAAATATTCCCTTAATTACATAACTGTCTTGGACAGTTAGAATGGGCTTAGTGCCCGAAAATATGCTTTCGAAAAGGTACTGCAAAAATCAAATCCTTGATACGGAACGTTATAAGCATTGCCATGGGCTAAACCACGTTACCAGGTGGTTTCTGGGGTCGCTGATTACGCATCTGATATCAGTGTTTCAAAATTCAAATTAGCGGATCCAATATGGCATCAACTTTAAACAAGTAAGAAAGCCTAAGTTCGGGCGGAGCCGAACATTGAATACCCGGCGCAAGTATTAAATATGTGGTTTTCACCTTTCCGAAAGTTACCGCTAAATGGTAAGCCGGGCTGTATCAATTTTGAGTAAATTAGCGTCCCCAAATTACGAAATATTGAAGTTTCAAGCATTTCTGAAATTTACCGTTATATGAAAAGCGGCCGTAGTTTTAGTCCGATTTCAATAATTTTCAAACGTTTTGCTTTTATGTGGCAAGCACA